TATATATATATATATGTATACATATACATATATATATATATATATATTCCAGACTTATTAAAAAATATATTTTATGTGTCACATAAATTTCTGACAATACAAGATACAAGACAATACAAGAATTTTGTATATTTACAAAACTGCCTGAAGATAAAGAACCCTTTAAAGTTTTGTTCTGTTTGACTGTGTAGGTGGTTAGTCCAAAATTCTGTCCGGTACTGGTTTTGGGGCAACTGTGGCTGAGTGGTTAGAGTATCTTCCTCCATTGTGAGAGTTGGGGGTCCGATTCCACCAGCAGTCACATGTTGAAATGTCCCTTGGCAAGACACTGAACCTTTCCTCGCCTCTGAAGGATGTCCCATCAGTGCATGAATGTGATAAATCTCTGATTATTGTTTGTAGAGATCTAGTAGAGTGCTGTATGAATGGGTAAATGAGGACACAGATGGTGTTATAAATAGCTTTGAGTATCTTGATAAGAAAAAGGTGCTACATAAGTACAATCCTTTACCATTTTACTGTTTGATCATTTTACCAAGATTGTCCTTCTTTTCTATGATCTCTCCTGTCCTGGTCAATGGTCTTTGACCGCTGCTGCTTCTCTCAGCTTTAAGATGGCTCACAATGACAAAGATCCGGCGCCGGCAGCTGGGACCCTGTCTGTTGGCCAACTGCAGTCCCACCTCAAGATGGAGCCCAAAACTCTGGGGGTGAGCACAAAACGTTTATCAACTAAACATCAGCTAACATCTTAGACTCAAGTGTAAATGTTCCAGAAGTCCCTACTGATTGAAAGAAAAGCAATAAATATTTTTAGACCACAATGATTAAAGGTTTCAGTTTTACACATCTGTCCTGATTTGGTTTAATTCATCAAAACTAATCTTACAATGGGCTCAGTGAGTTCTACACATTGTTCTCTTTCTCTGACATCTCTGGGATGTCCACCACCGAGTTCATGGATGGCTACTGCGAGAATCACAGACAACTTGCGGCCACAGCTGAAAGCAGCCACGTCAACAACTGAGGTGTGGAACATGGCCCATGTGGACTCAATGTCCCCCACCTCAGTTGGGATGCAGTTAAAGCTCTCCCAGAGGAGTGAGTTGAAGATCTTTCTGACGGGTTCTTCTGCCAGGCATTCCCAGCAGACACGTTTGGGTCTACCAGTTCTGTCCGGCATCTTCCCTCGCCATTTTAATCCAACTCACTACCAGATGGTGATCAGATGACAGCTCAGCTCCTCTCTTCACCCGAGTGTCCAAAACAAACGAGGAAGAAGAAGAAGAAAGAGCTCTCCAGACATGATGTTGCTGATGAAGCTGGGGTGGAATGGATGGACACGAGAGTCAGGGGTGGTTTGTGACAGAAGGATAGCTGCAAAGGTGAAGGGGAAGATTACAAGATGGTCAACTTGCTGTAAGGTTTTTATTGGGAGGGACCAAACTGGACAGGGTTAGAAATGAGGGACAGCTCAGTTTGGAGACAAAGTTAGTGAGACAAGGCTGAGATGGTCTGGACATGTGCAATGGAGTGACCCGGGAGAAGGAAAAGGGGAAGACTACAGAAGAGGGTCGTGGATGCTGTGAAAGGGGGTTTGCAGGGGGTTGGGTTGGTAGAGGAGGATGCTGGGATAAGGCAAGATGGAGGCAGACGGTCCGTGCTGAAAGAAGGGGATCCACAAGAGGACTCAACAGAGATATAAAACCTGAGGATCATTCTGAAGAGTTTTAAAGACCACTGACAGAAAGGTGAATGGATCTTGAGGCTATACTACAAATGTTTTACCCAGGTTCTGAATCTTGTAGGCTTACATTAACTCAGGGGTGCCCAAAGTGGGGCCCGCGGGCCAAAGTTGGCCCGCCAAGCCGTTTGAGTTGGCCCATCAAGCTGTCCTCATTACTATATTAAAATTTCCTTCTAATTGTCAATGTGTTTACACTCAGTCATTCGGACTTTAATGTTAATGTTAAATGGAAAGTCAGCCCTGTGACTACCTTAATGGCACTATACAGCTGGAGTGGCTATTTTGTGCATTAAATTATTTAATTTTACTAATGTAAATTTTATTTTGACTGACTTCCTACAGCTTCCTGCCACTGAAAAACATTTTCCTTTGATCCTGCACTAATACCATTATAAATCACACATAAAGCGTTTAAAAATAGCCTAAATTATAAATATGAAGTAGTGATTTTAGCCTCTTTTTGGGGCTGCTCAAGCACCCCTAAATTTAAACTCAGCACCTTTGAAAAATAAAACATCATTAGGATTTTGTAAGGAAACAGTTCTCAAACCTTAGATTCACCATAATATGAATATGGAATAAATGACGACAGTCAAACGGGCCAGTAAAATCTTTGATTTTTTTTTTTGCACAAGTCCTGCCACTTGTCAATCAATCCAGCATGTCAGCAACGGACCAGTCAGCAACATCATTTGTCCTGAAGTGAACGCCCCTTACCTGCAGAGCTGCAGCTTTGCAGTCAGAGATTTCCATAATAACAGAGTTTACTTTTTTCATGTTAATCTACTGCAACAAACCTTTGTAAAATACACCAAAATGCAGGAAATGGCATCTATTTTATTCCAAATTCTCTGGGGGACGACCCCCCCCCCCCCAGACCCCCCACCACCACCAATACAGCCTGTTCTGTGATGTTCTTTACACAGAATTGAAGGTTAAATAACTGTATAATAAATAAATGGACTTTACTTGAAGAAGTCTTTGCATTTCATGTATCACTGCGTTTGGCCCGCAGCCCTCTGATACATTTTAAATTAGGCTCTCTCAGGGAAAGGGTTTGGGCACCCCTGCTTTAACTAAACACTTTTCATTTTCTTATTCATGGACTGAAGAGAAAAAGAAACATTGGTCATTAGGGTGAGTCAACGTCAGAGGTCTGTTGTCTGTCAAACTGGAAACATGTCTCACACATGATTTACTGATTAACTGATCACTTCCTGTTCCCCCCAGGCAATCCAAATTGTTATTGGGGCTTTGATCCTCTGTCTGAGCGCCTCTGTGCTCCAGCTGCATGAGGTCCACTTCACCGGGGATGTGGCCCTCTTTCTGGTTGTTGTCATACAGGTGGGTCTGAGCAGCGCTACAACATCCAGTACCATTTAATGTTGGCCCTTTTCTGTGTTCTTTTAATCTCCATCTTACTGTGAGTCCTCAGTCTGACTACATGTCCTTGAAACCCTTCAGGTGACTTTGTCTGGCTCGGTACTGGTCCACAGTGGAAGGAGGCCTACTCTGTTTTGGGTGAGTGAGCGACATGGTACCTGTTTCTGAGGTGATACCTGTACCTGTAGATTCTCCTTGGTTTGGTTTTAGTTTTACAGTGGTGGTTCCAACCTGAAGAGACAGCTTCTCTTTCTTAGGTTTTACACAATCCTGGCAGTGGAGAGCCCTCAAGCCTTCAGAGATGGTCCGAGAATTCAGCACATTAGAAATGTTACATTAAAAATTTTAATTTATAATATATTTCATATTAAATAAACATTTTCAGTGTGGTTTTTCTAATTTTTTGCTAATTTATTTTATTTTCTATAAAATACTTTGCAGTTGAGCAAGATTAAAAGAAAACCAGATGAAAATCAAGTTATCCCGTCAGATTTTTATTTTTTTGTCTGAAGCTCTTTTCTCATTGGTCAGGACTTCACTGTCAGGAGAGAAGGCTGAGCTCAGTCTCTGTAGGAGGAGTTTAATAATAATAATAATGTGTTATGTGTTGTCGTCATTGTAATGATGAAACTGGTCCTCTGCGTTTGACCCATCACAACTGGGATGCGCCCATGTGGGGCAGTGGGTGGCTCTTGGGCACTCGGGGAGCGATTGGGAATTGGGTGTCTTGCTCAGAGATGCCACAACATGTAGGAATGTTTGAGAGTCGAACCACGACTTTCTGGTCCCAGGTCAGCTGCCCTACCTCTGAGCCATCTGGGCCCCCCAATAATAATAACTGACAAAAATTAAAATTAACCAATCATAATGTTGATGTGGAGTGGGCGGGACAAAAACATGGGGGCTCTGAACGTTTGAGAAAGCATTTTAAGGCATTTTTTGTTTGTTTGTTTGTTGACCCTGTGAAGAATTGTGATTCATTCATTTGCAACCTGTAAATTCAGAAATCTACAAAAAAAATTGTAATTGCTTTAAAATACATCACATTTGGGTTTACACGGACAGTTTTCATTATAACACATGTGCTTTGGTTTTGTTTCATGATAAAAAAATATATTTTTTACAGAATCAGTCATTTCTGTGGGTTACTTTTAAATTTCAGCGTGAATTGTTTAAATTACTTGTACTTGAATATAAAGACTATGAGTTGCAAGGCCTTCTGGGTAATCTTGATACAGAAGTGGGTGGACTTTTTCAAGTTCTGTGTCCTTGTGGGTTCTCCCTGTTGGTTCTGTTTAGTGTTTGGTTCTTGTGTATGTTCAGGTTGTTGTTAGTGACTTTTTAAAAATAGAATAGAATAGAATAGAATAGAATATAAACAGCCTTTATTGTCCCACAGATGGGAAATTCAAATGCAACAGCAGGATATCCCCAAATGACACCATAAGCCAGATGTTGGACCTGACAGATAAAACGATGGGAAACACTTCCTGTCAGCGAGTTTTGGAATTGCAAAAGAGAAAGTAAAGTGACAGAGATCCACTTTGGTCATAGATGTTTTTGTAGCTGTTAGCATCTTGAACCGTTTCAGTTTGAAAATCTATCTATCATCACTCTGTTAAAATCAGGTCTCTCTTGTAAATGAGTCCCTGAGGCTCAATGGGATTAACCTGAATAAATAAAGGTTGAATGAATCTATGACGGATTAGACTGGTACCAACAGATCCTGTTAGCCTGAGGTTAGCGCAGTACGTTAGGCATGGATTCTTAAGAAAATTGTTCCACAAAAAGGAATGGTTCTCTTGAGCATCAAATGACACACAAAGTGTAAAACTGCAACACCTCTGTCTTGCTACTGTTCCTGTTCTTTGTTGGTAGCATATTTGTATATGAATTCCTCTTTCCATTTGCAGGTGAAATGTGTCCTGGTGCTGCATCTCATCAGTGCTGCGTTTGCCACCGCTGCCCTCGGCCTCATGTCCAAACACCTGCCCTACCGCCAGGACTCGTACCACTGTGAACACTGCCGCAGACTGGAGCTCCATGCAGTGGTACGGTCTCTACGTTTCTGTCTCTAGTTTTCTGTCACTGAGCTGAACCCGTGATCATCAACCAGATAAACACTGGTACAGTCACACTCCTTGGTCAGTCTGTGGCTAAAAGTATCTAGATTTCCATTATACATTGTTTTGGGAGATGCAAGAGTCTTGCCTGGTGCAAGACTGAAACAATGTTTGCAGGACAGAACTTTACACTGTGGTATTCTTCAAATTTACTTTGCATGTCCCATATTTGTATTTACAATGTTTTTATGCCATCACTCAGCATGAAATGCTACTCAGTACCAAGTATAAGTAATCCAGACGTTTTCACATGCCATTATGTGTTCACATGGCACCTTTCTAAGATGCAGTTAATTGAGGCTTTGATAAGTTATCGATATGATTTTGAGTGTTTAGAAAAGCCCCAAAATGTTATTTTAGCTCATACTTAATGATACATGTGAAATTTGTTGAGAGGTTAAGTTTAAGGAAGGTGGAGCACAGTGTCTTTAGGTGTTGGTTCTTATGCAGTCCAGCTCTCGTGCCCCCACCAGACCCCAGCACTAACCATTTTCCTGCTGCTGAACAACAACCAAACACCACCTCCACCATACCCTGGACTCAGCGTCATGGCCTCAGGCTCTTGCTGTGCTGTGGCAGACTGCAGACATGTTTTCTTGGATGGTGAGTTCTGGCTAGGCCTGTGGCAGTAAACAATAAATCAATTAATCGCGTGATAAATGAAAATTACCAACATCATTTTCATTTATCGGCTTTATCGTTTCTTCGTGTCTCTTTCTACTGAAGACACTGGACGACAAAAGGCTCAACTCCGGTGCTCTTCACTGACCCCTCTTTTTCTCTTTAAAATCTGTTTTAACCGTCCAAAATTGTGTTTTTGGATCATTAAAAGCAGCTAAGCTAACAGGCCAACCTCAGGAAAAAACCTCCGTCTTATCGACGCTCCAAAATTCACAGTTGAAACCCGTGCCTTCATGTAAAAAGTTGTTTTTTCTCTGCAAAAAGAAGCTGAGAACTTGTTTACTAATTTTTTTTTAATTAAAAGCTTTGTGTGAAAAATGCTAAAGAGCTCAAACCACACCGAGCATCCGCCATTTTGAGAACCAGAAAAACAGGAAGGAGAGACAGCCCATGTCACAAGGCCTCCCTCCTATTTTTCTTAAAGAGACACACTTCTTGTTCCCTCACTATCCATCTTTGGTTCAACCAGTCTTATACTGCCATCCGGTGGTCAAAACAGGTACTACACACTAAACAAATTCACCAACATTTCTTCTTAAATTTGACAAAATTTACCAGTTGTTGTCAAATTTCAAACAATATTATCGTTTATCGCAATAATTTCTGAGACAATTAATCGCTCAGCAAAATTAGTTACCGTGACAGGCCTAGTTCTGGCGTACCAGTAAAATAGCTGTACAGGGCTACAGCTAAGTGAAATATCCCATGATGCTTTAAAACAAAAATAGTCTGCAGAAAACATTAAATGGACAAATGTAATGGGATTAAGCTGGGAGTGTATTTCCTTGTTGGTCAGCAGTCCTTTAATGTTGTGGAGGATGAAGGCTGGTCAGCTGTCATCCCTGACCTCTGAGGCTTTCTTCTGTCTGGTAGTAGATGACTGGTTGGTGGTACATGTTGTGAAGCAGACTTCCTGTTTCTCTCTTTACTGTCCACTGCAGCAACATTGTTTCAGAAAATGCACCGGGCTGATCGAGCAAAAGTGTAAAGTAAGTGACTGTTGCTCCAAATCATTCCTTAGATCATGTTTCATTGTTGTTTTGAGTGCATTTAGAAGGCAACGATGTTTTAACCAATATAAAAAAATGTTTTGAGCCATTTTAAAGATTTATTTTGGAGCAGTCTTTGGTCACTGAAGAGAACACATGTTGTTTCTGACCTCATGTTCTCTTGGTTTTCCCGGGGTTAGCTGCTGATCGACGGGATTCTGGGAACTTTGGTGATCTTCCTGGTGCTCGAGCTGCTGATCTGCATCACTGCCATGTTGTTTGGACTCAGTGTTCTGGCTGCTGGGGGAAACCAGGTGAGGTTTTTATCCCCTCTGAGAAGGTCAAATAACCAAAAATACAGCCAAATACACAGACTTCCATAGAAACTGTAAAAATGTTGATTTGGTTTTATTCTAGTGTCAGGACACAAGAACCGATGCAGCCGGATTACTGTTCAGTCATTATTCTTTGTTTTCTGTCATCATTTCCACTTTTCCCAGACCTTCAATAAAAATCCTAAGTCTTTTGCCATTTCTCCATTCTTGCACTGGTGTGCTATAACTTTGGACCGCAGGACATCGAAGGCTGTAGAGAATGTTCTGTTGGACCACAGTGAGGTTCTAGCGAAACAAGTGAGAAGCCCCAGACCACTTCAGAGCTCGTGAAGTTCAAACGGGTCAAAACGAGCTGGAATTTACACGACTGAAGTGGCATTTTCAGATTGTCAACAGTTTCTTGCTTTTCTCTCAAACCTCCTCAAAATGCAGGAGGTGCACACTCAAACTTCCACTGATTCTGAGACTATAATGTTCTCATCAAAAGGTTTATTAAATAGAACTGCTGCTTATCAAATGTGCATGTGTGTGTTTTGTTTAGGCTTCCAGCCAGAAGCCTGTCTACCCGCAGACCCGACCCCCATCTGCTCCAGCGGTGCCAGCTGTTCATACACCTCAGGCAGCAGCTGAGCCTTCTCAGGTACTACAAGACTAGCAGGGCAGGTTTCTGTAGTCCATGTGGGGTCAAATAGAAGGGCCTGCAGGTTTCTGTAGTCCATGTGGGGTCAAATAGAAGGGCCTGCAAGTTTTTGTAGTCCATGCAGGGTCAAAGTAAACATGAGGGGCTGTCATTCTCCTATCTGTTACGGAAGCACGATCCATAGTGTACTTCCGGGTCGCACGGATCACCGTTGTTTATGAATAAAATCTGCCTTAATTTACTTTAAAAAGTACGTTCTCTATCTCCACCGAGCTTCATGCAGCTAATTTACGCCACTCGTATTTCCGTTACAAATCAATGGTTAAGATGATGTGCGACGCATTAGACCTGGCCAGCCTGGACTGAATGAGAAAAACCCTGCAAGATACAGAAGGAATTACTTCCATGGTAAAACAGCGCCGCTCAGTGGTGAAGCTGCGTATCTCGACGTAAATATGTCAATGATTTTAACGTGGCGTAAATTAGCTACGTGAAAATGGGCGGAGATGGAGCACATACTTTTCTAAGTAAATTAAGACGTTCTTATTCATAAATTGAATTATACCAGTACATTTTTCTTAATCTAGCATATTCAACGGCGATCCATCCGAACCGGAAGTATTCCTTTTAGCGCATGAGCAACACTACGGATCGGTTCCGTAACAGATCAGGGAATGACAGGGCCCGCAGGTTTCTGTAGTCCAGCAGGAGTCAAACCACTTTTCTTATGAAACTGGCTTCCAGTTGTAAATCTGTTGGTTTCCTTGTCATTTTCTGTTGTGGTCCTTGCTTTTAAGCCTAGTTCACAAATTTTCTATCAGGTTGAATATTTTTTTGACTGTAACGTCCAGTTCTGGATCTTAATGTTAGTCGGTTTCATCCAGTCAGAGATCTGTTCTGGTGGGTTTGGGACTAAGTTGCTGTTAGAACACCCAACTGGTTCAGCTAGCCTCCTGCTGATCTGAGGTGACGTTAAGGAATCATGAGGTTGATCTCCTTCTTCATTATTCCATCAGCTTTAATAAATGTATCAGTACTACAGCATGATGCTGCCACCACCATGCCTGACAGTTGTTTCAGTGTTTTTAGGTTTGGAAGCCTCTCATCTGACCATAAAACTTTTCTCCAGAAGACATTAGGACTGTCCATCAGAGGTCTCTTTTGGAGCAGGAGCTTCTTTCGTGGCCTTCTTAATCCGTATCAATGTAGAACTGGTTCCAGTGTGGACAGGGACACTGGTGTTCAGGTCATGGCAGGACTGAGCCTTGGGGATCCTTGGGTTTTTCCTGAACATCTGAATGAGTACTGGTCAGTCCAATAAGTGCTGGCTAAAAGAAACTACCATTTGCAGTCAATCATGACCAGTGGAAGTTTTCAAGTTAAGAGACTTAAGAATCTCCAGTTCTGCTTATTAAAAGATTTTGGAGAATGTACAGCTGCATCTCAACAATAAATTAGAATATTATGAAGAATTTCAAATGTTCTTGTCGGTCATTTCAGAAAGTAAAACTCACATATTACATAGACTCATTGCACAGAGTGAAATATTTCAAGCCTTTATTTCTTGTACTTTTGATGATTATGATTTACAGATAATGACAAACTAAAAATTCAGTGTCTGAGAAAATTAGATTATTGGGAAGAGTTCAGTATTGTAAACTCCTGGTGTCACACCCTGATCAGCTGATTAACTCCTAGACATGAGCTACAAATGTCTCATTCCTCAAGTCAGGACAACGTCAGAAGCATCTTACCTTAGCATCTTAATTTTGACCTTATGAATTATAGAAAATAATCCATAATCCACAATATATGGAAACTTGTGCAACCAAAATTTGTTTTTAAAACCATGATTGTTAAATGCTTGTATAACCATTCCACCATGGAATAAGAACAGTTCAAATAAATATTTAAAAGACCGAGGTATGACGACGTTCCCGACACGATGAGGTGATGGAAACTTCTGAGCACAGGTGAATCTGATTGACAGAACGATTTAGACGCTTTCTGCTGGTTCTTAGAGAAGAATGGTTTATTTTTCACCATGTTGAGGTGGTGGTCTGTGGAAACATCATGAAGAGTTAATACGAGTTAATGGAGTTAAAACTTTTTTTTCTCTAAACAGGGATACTCATTGTGCGGCTCCCGAGCCACATGTGGCTCGCCATGCTTTACTAGTGGCTCTCGTGACAGGTTACAACAATACGCCAGCACAGCCAATACGTTTTTAAATCGTGCTGGCGCATTGCGCAATAATTGTCTCGGCTCGGGCTTGATGAGGTTTTACGAATAATATTGTATTTATCTACTTGCTGAGGAGGCAGGTCTGAAGCTTCAGGTGGATCACCGGATCACTGGCCGTGCGCGTCCGCTGACCCACAAGTCAAAAGATGTAAAAAATGACCTGTTAATCTCAGATGGATCAGCTGATCACCGGCCACGCGCGTCTCCACACCTGCTGTCATCTGCAGTGAAGGAAGTAGGAGCATCTTACAGGGCCAGTTCTAGGCATGGTTACATGAGGGGGCAGGTGGAAATGTGAAGGGGGGCATCTTCATCCGTACACATATTACAGCATATTCACTGTTGAACATGGACTTTGGTGTTCATTGTTATTGTTGACTTGTGTTTTCTTCATGGGATTGGGGTAATAGCTAAAAGCTGAAATTTTTACACCTGTGAGTCAACCATGAACACTTTCAAGCAAAAACAGAGAAACCCACTGACCCATGTCCATCTTGAATGTCTCACGTGGTTGCAACAACAAATTCAAATACAACATGAAGAACGTCAAGGACACGCACCACAGCTTCCGCTCATCTCAGCACTAAGGTACATTTTGTTTAAACAGATAATGTGCTGGCTGTGTTGCTTTTTTCTTCATTTTTTCGTTTATTTGAGTGACTTGGGGTGATGTCGCGGCTCTCCCCTTGACTTTGATCTGTCAATATGGCTCTTTTGACAAAAATAGTGAGGATCACTGATCTAAACTGTCGGTTCAAAGAGTTATCTAAAGCAGGCAAGATACTCATTCTGTGTAACTTTTCCACAGAGCCCCACTTCTGAAAGGTTCTAAACTCTGGCTGTCTGTGTAAGGATGACGTTGGGTGCTCTGTGTGTCTTCAGGTAGCTGTGGTCGTGACGGAAGCTGATTCTGAACAGATCGAGGACATCTCCACGCCGCCGACCGAACCCCAGGTGGAGCCAATAGAAGCTGTTACCACAGAGCCATGAACTGTCCGATCCAGTCCCCCTTAGAGCGAGCAAAACAAAGGATTTTTGTACATGTACTCCCCTGTATGTCAAGAACTCCCTTTATTTAAAGTAAAACACACTTGCTGATAGAAGAGCAATAAACTAACTAAAAAGAATTCTGAAAACTTGCAAACGTAAGGAATAAATACGAGTATCTCAGCCGATCTGATATCAGTTAAATGCAGCGTTGTTTAAAATAGTACTGGGCGCCGGTTGGAGCAGCTTCATGGTTACTTGGTACAAAAAACTAAAACGTTAAAAGCTGACGGTGAATGTTCAGCTGCAGCTCAACGCTGGAGAAAATCTAAAATCCTGAGTTCACAGCTTGTTGTTGGTTGTTTTGCACTCACTCAGCACTTTGACCACTAAAGAGAGAGTTCAGCTCGCTAGACGGGGAGTCCTGAGGAAGGTTATGAATAGTAAATATCTTACCTGTTGTTGATAGCCCTTTGAGTGACTTCCCTTTAGAGAAATAGTTTGACTTTGATCAGATGGACGAACTAATGGCTGCCGTCAGTTTTCTATATATACATGGTTACTGACAGAACAATGTAGGGATTTACAGTCAGAAAGAACAGCAGCAACTAGCTGTACCACTTCCTACTTTTTTATAATAATACATCTGCTGGAATTACCGTGTAATTTAAAACTGACAGAGCTGTGACACTTTATAAAGCACCATTCATACAGTGATGTGTAACGCGAAGAGCTTTATGAGCAGCAAAGAACAAAGCAGAAAGAACCTTGTCCAACATCACTTCAAACAGCAGGAAGTTGTCCAAAGATTGAACAACACTGTCGGAACTGAGGAAACAGTATTTCATTAAACACCAGAGGTATTAAAACATATGTATCAAAACCGCATGAAATCTACTTCATGATGCCAAGACGCTTAAAAAAACAAATGAAAGATGGAGGTTAAAACAAACTATGTTACTTTAGTTACTAAAGTGAATTCAAAGACCCCACAAAAAGTTTTCACCCCCCTTGAATGTTTTAGTTTATTGTCACAAATCGGTTATAGTCATCATTAATTTGTCGTTTTTACTAAATAATTTTAAGATAAACTTCTTTCAATGTTAAAGGAATAAATGACAAAGAAATATCAAATAAATTAAAATATGTACAGTAAATAAAATGACCGCATAAATGAGATTAATAGAAAGTACAAGTCAGGGAATGGATATGAGAGGATTTCCAAGGACCTAAACAACCCAAGAGAATTGTTAATTCTGTCATTAAGAAATGGAAGGAATATGGAACATGTGTAAATCTACGAAGAGCAGGACGTCCTCATAAACTGAGAGACTGTGATGAAGAAGATCAATGAGAGAGATCACCAAGACACCTGAGACCACTCTGAAGGAGTACAAGCTTCAGCAGCAGAGATAAGGGAGACCGAGCATACAACAACTGTTGCCTCAGTTTTTCACCAGTCTGAGATTTATAGGAGAGAGTCAGGATACAACAACTGTTGCCTCAGTTTTTCACCAGTGTGAGCTTTATGGGAGAACGTGAGCATACAACAACTGTTGCCTCAGTTCATCACCAGTCTGAGATTTATAGGAGAGA